CAGGTGTGAGCTACCGGCCCCTGTCAAAATTGCCACATTAAAAAAAAAAAAATCAGATCTAGAGTAGTTGATTCCTTTGTAGCCTAATTCCATTTAAAAAGGGAATTTTGAAAGCGTGACCAAACTTCCCCCTGCAAGCGCAAACAAAGCCTGGTAGCTGGACAAGAATCAGAAAAACCCTGGATTGTGTAATGGCCATGCAGAGATTGGCACTCCGGGGTCCGGCCAACACGGGGTGAGCCGTGATGGAATCTCCCGGCAAATGTCGGAGGCAGAGTTCTCGGTAAAGTTGAATTCTCATTTTAATGGTTTCGGGACTGCTTTTTACCCAAACCTGAGCCAGGCAAGGATCAATAACTGCAATTTTAACTGGACTGACAAGCCACCTCTACCTGACTCTCTCCTGAACGATTTTATGTTCCTGCTGTGTCTTGCCCGGCTATTTATCTCATATTTAATTAAAGTCGCCTCTCAAGTGTGGCCCAGAAGGAAAGCCGACAGCATCCTTATGAAGACACGGACGCGTCGCTTTCCATCAAAAGAGCATCAACCGGACGGAACCACGGCAAATTCTAGCTAGCGCTGACTGCCGCGGGAGGGACCCACCCGCAGGAGTTGAGGGAATGACTGACCAAGCGGAGACGCGTTCACTGACGCCATCAAGCAGAGCAAGAGAGAAAGGGAAAGAGCCTCATTTCCTCCGCATCCTTGAAGGTCATGGCTTTCTGGACACCCCCAAGCCATGCTATGTAAGGTGTTACCCCACTGGGGGAGACCCCGGGGTAGGATACAGTGCCATAAACGAATCAGAGAAGCGTCTCTCCCTAGAGGGACTATCCCGCCTGCGTCCGGAGACGCCGGCGGCCTCTCCACGCGCAGCTCTGCGGGAGCTCCTGCCGCCCGCGGCCACGGCCTCCTCCGCTCCCAGCCTGACTGCTCCCGCCCCGTGGAGTTCCCCGTGCCAACCGGGTCGCGTGCTGTGTGTGACTTGGGGGCGAGAAACTTGGGGCGAGACGTGGCCACTCACTGTCAGGACTGGCTAGCGTCACACAGAGAAAGAAAGAGGAAAGCAGACGCTGTTTGTCTTGCTTGGGGAAGGGGCACAGGTAACCACAGACTCGGCTTTCTTCCTGCTTTATGTGGAATGGGAGCCCTTCCCAGCAACCCGCACCACCTCTGTGGCACTGGGTGAATAGTATATGATATACAGGCGTGGGTCTGTGTATCTGTCTTTAGATGTGGCAAAACCAAGCTCAGGGCTGCATCCAGTTTATCAACTTACTGATTCAAGGGTTGGTACTGAGGCTCCCTTGTGGGACATGGAGATAAAGACAGTGGTTGGCTCTGTGTGTGCGTGCGTGCGTGTGCACACGCACAACCATCAAAGCGGTTTCTAAAGAAAAGCAGCAGGAACCAGACACAGGAATCAAGGCCGGCAAAGGGATGGAAGGCCAGGGCAGTGACCCAGACAGAAGGCCACGGTTTTCTGCGGCCCTGCTTCCGAGGTCTTTGTCGGTCTCTTCCTGTGCATCTTTAGTGCGACCACAGACCCGTAGAGCACGGGACCCCTATAGCGCCGGACAGACCCCGATATCAACGGGATTCGTACAGTGTTGGATCCCTGCTCAGAGTGAGGAAGGAGAGGACCTTGGAATGCTCCCCCTGCGGGCGGGCGGGCGGAGGGGAGGGGGAGAGGCGCAGAACAATGGCAGCAGAAGGGGGTGGGCGGTGGGTGAGGACGGTGCGTGGACAGGATGCGAGGGACAGACGGACTCGATCAGGATCAGAGACAGAGCGGGGACAGCGCGGGGGAGGGGAAGCCAACACACTCTGGGCCCCGGGGGCTGCGCTGGCCTCCGTCTGCTCTGTCGTAGCTTCTTTATGTTTCTTTTAAATTTCTATTTATTTTTGTCGGCCGTGGGTCTTGAACTCTGAGCCTGGGCGGCGCTGTCCCTCAGCGGGCGCTCTACCACTTGAGCCACAGCGCCACTTCTGGTTTTCTAGTGATTTATGGGAGATCAGAGTCTCCCGGACTTTCCTGCCCGGGCTGGCTTTGAACCGCGATCCTCAGATCTCAGCCTCCTGAGAAGCTGGGATGGCAGGCGTGAGCCACCGGTGACTGGCTTTATTTTTATTTTCTTTTCCTTTTGTTCTTCGGGTGGCCAGGATGGAATAAAGGGCAGGGCGGCCGGCCTCCGCCCTGCCGGGCAGGGGCGGCGGGAGGTGCTGGGGAGCAGTTCCAGAGTGTGTTGGGTGTCCCCCGCCCTCCGAGCTGGAGCACACAAATGTCACATCCCCATGAGACAGCCCAGAGGGACAGAACACGGGTCCCAGGCCCCCTCCCCACGCATGTCCTACCCCGGGGGAGGCTCACACACATGTGACATCGCTTCAAGCACCCACGCCGGTGGGAGAGGAAGCGAGGGAGGTCGGCTCGGGTGAGGGGACCGTGGGGGACATCAGAAAAGCCCCCCCCCCCCCCCCGCCAGTCACCGGGCTCGGCCAGGAAGAGAACAGAGGGCGGGAACAAAAACAAATCACGGACAGGGACCGCGAAGATCATCCAGAGCAGAGGGGACGAAAACAACCAAACAAAATCAAAATCACAGCACAAAGGGAACCGGTGAAGAAGAAGAAGAACATTCAGGGCTCGCTGCGTTTCCACGTTGCTGCTCACGGGCGTTGCCCCCTCCACCGTCCGCCCGGCGATCGGACTCGCCACTCCGGTCCGACGGGGCAAGGCCAGGAGCCGGAAGCACGGGCACAGTGATCATGTGAAAACACGCATGCGTTGCCTCTGCCACCATTGCCTGGCTATGTGAACACTGCTTCCAGCGCCGGCCACGCTCTCCTAAGACCCCGGGGACACGCCATGCCCAACTGGTCACAAGCTAGCCAAGCCATGACCCCCACTTCTCGGGGCGGGGGTGCGGGGGGCCCGGGAACCCAGGCCGCCTCTCTCGGCAGAGTCGAGAGAGACAATCGGGACGTTTGGCTGATGGATCTGACGTGTTCCTAGAAAGGCTGTCTTTCTAGAAAACGCCGCTTGGACGCACAGAGAAGGTGCTATTTCTTTCTTCTCGTGAGGACCCACGCCGGGCTCAGCAGAGGCCACACAGCACACGTAAGGACACGCTGGAACTTGGGGTAGAGCCCCGGGCTTTCCCCTCCCAGGCTCCCTCTCGCTCCCAACACTAAAGAGAGCTGAAGAGATCACATTGACTTCTTATTTTCTTTGCTCCCTTGACATCGGCGTAGGGCAGGGCAGGGGGAGAAATTGGAGTCTACAGAAGAATAAGGATACTAGCGGAGGAAGATGTGGGGTGCTGGGGGGGGCATCTGGGTCTAGGAAGCAGGGAGGCCAAGCGTCCAGTGCACTCATTAAAAACAAACAACAAAATTGGGTGCCAGTGGCTCACGCCTGACATCCCAGCTACTCAGGAGGCTGAGCTCTGAGGATCCCAGTTCAAAGCCAGCCAGGGCAGGAAAGTACATGAGACTCTGATCTCCAGAAAACCACTAGAAAACCATAAGTGGCGCTGTGGCTCAAGTGGTAGAGCAAAAGAGCAAAAAGGCTCAAGGACAGTGCCCAGCCCCGTGACTGACAAAAATAACCCTCAACAAAACCGGGCGCTGGTGGCTCACGCCTGTCATCCTAGCTACTCAGGAGTCTGAGATCTGAAGATCACAGTTCAAAGCCAGCCCGGGCAGGAGAGACTCTGAGACTCTTCAATAAACTACCAAAAAGCTGAAAGTATAGCTATGGCTCAACTGGTCCAAGGACTAGGTCTTGAGCAAAAAGAAGCTCAGGGGCATTACACACACACACACACACACACACTCACACACGAGCAGTATACACACACACCATTTTACACACACACACACACAAGCAGTATACACACATACCATTTTACACACACACGCACACGGCATTTTACATAATACATACACAGCATTTTACACACACACGCATGCACACACACACGGCATTTTACACACACACACACACACACACACACACACACACACACAGCATTTTAATGCTTTTTAGCACGAGAGCCTGCCCGGAAAGTATTTTATCGAAATAAAGTTTAAAAAAAAAATGTATGTAGAAAACAGGAAAGACACGCCAGGGTGCCTTCCCAGCCTGGGCCACGGGCCTCTTGAGAACATACAGAGGAAGCCGCTCTGGATGGGCGGCCGGCTGAGCCACATAAGCGGGCTTTTGAGCCTCTGATTTACGAGGCCGGCTTTCGGACAAGCGAAGGCCTCTTCGCTTGCAGCTGCAGCTGAAGTAGTAAGGACCACCGCAAGCCGCCGATGGGGAGAGGAGGAGAGGACATTTCCTGTCTGCGGCCGGGCAGAGAGAGCCAGGGGGACGGAGGGGGGCACCTCACAGTGGGGTCTCTTTGATTCTGCCTGGCTTCCTTTCCTGTCCGGGGCAAATGCGCAGCAAATTCTGCTCGATCAAATAACATATTTTTTGTTTGAGCCGTTGGCCTCAGCGGGGATAATTACAGACGCAGGGCTGCATTCAAATTCAACCCTGCGCAAGAAGGAACAGCCGAAGAGAAAAGCCAAGAGAAAAAGAAGCGGCCGCCTGCCCCGCGATTCCTCAGTTCCCCGATGGATGGCTTCTTGCTTTGATTGCGTTTTCCCGCCGATGCCCACACCCTGCATTCTGTGGCATGGTGGGAAGGCAGTCCTCCCTCTTACTACACCCCCCCCCCCAAATCTCAGTGTTGGAGAGGGGTGGACAGGGGCCAGAGTCCACCTCGGAGCCCTGCGCGGAGAATGTTCCAGGGGGTGCTGTTATTTGTGATGTGTGGCTTCTCTGTGGCCCGGCGTGGTTGGAGCCTGGGGCTGGGGCTGTGGCGTTTTGTGGGGGGGGGGGGCAGCTGGAAGCAGTCACACATACTCTCCGCTCTTTCCTCCCTCCCCTTCCCCCCCCCCCGGCCCCTCCCCCTGCCGCCCAGGGGACGGTCCCAAGGCCTTACCCTTCCTGTCCTGGTGGTTGCGGGAGGACACCGCCCCCAGGGGGTCTGAGCTGCCCGGTAACTCCGGCGAGTCCTTCCAGTCCAGCACGCCTCCCCTAGACTCGAACCCCTCTCGACCTGCCGCCGAGCCCGACGAGGTGGTGCTGGGCCAGAGGGGGCTGGTGCGCCCTGTTTTCCATCACAAATACGGTTAGGGACAAACAGCCTGCGTCTCGGCCTCCCGGGGCGGAAGCCTGTCTGCTAACGGGGAGACGGGCTGTCGAGGTGTGCAAGTGGCCGGTGGTGGGGTAAGGCTGGAGGAATGGGTGCGTGCGAGCAGGGCTTTGGGAAGACCTCGTGGGAGCACCCCACAACTCCAGCCTCACTCAAGGGTTCCGGCTCCGTGGACGTGATGAAGCACTGGCCACAGGACAAAGGCACGCAAGGCCTCTCTGATCATAATGGCTACTGGAAGATGGGTTTCTCAGGGGGGCTGAACCTTTATCGCACAGGACAGGAGGTGTGCTTTAAAAGTAGCTTCTGTAGCCGGGCGCCGGTGGCTCACGCCTGTCATCCTAGCTACTCAGGGGGCTGAGATCTGAGGATCACGGTTCAAAGCCAGCCCGGGCAGGAAAGTCCGTAAGACTCTGATCTCCAAAGAACCACCAGAAAACCAGAAGTGGCGCTGTGGCTCAAGTGGTAGAGCGCTCGCCTTGAGCTGAAGAGCTGAGGGACGGCGCCCAGGCCCTGAGTTCAAGACCCATGACCGACCTCCCCTGGCAAAAAAAAAATCGCTCTTGTTTCTTTCCATTTTGCTCAGCAGAGAAAGCCAGCCCCGTGTTTGTGTTTCACTGGGCCTGGCACACTTGTGTGCGCCTGCCAGGCTGTGGTGTGAGAAGTCGGTGTGTGTACGCAGGGCTCTGTGACCCCTGACACCGCCTTTTAAGTTGTTTTGCTGTTGAAAATAGCCCCGTATCATGCTGCTAAAAACGTGTTCATTTGAGACTCAGAAATGCTTGTGTTTTTGTGTGTTTCTGCTTTTCACCTCTCATCGTGTCGGGCTGATAAGAGAGCCAGGGTCAGGAAAATCAGCCTGGGAAATGGGGAAACACAATTTTCTTTCTTTCTTTCTTTTTTGTTTACATTGAGGTCTAAAATATAACCTCCGTTTCCGCTCTTGGATTCAAGACAGCTTGAATGAAATAGACGGTCAGCCTATGGGAAAATCCAGGACCTAGCGTAAGAAAGTGATTAGAAATACAGGTTTGAAGGCGGAGAGGAGAAAAACACGGAGGGAGGAAAAACAGAACAAAACCCCCAAAGCACCGTGCCAAACCCTCCTATCCAAGTAGCAAGAATTTCTTTTACCTGAATTGATGGACATTTTGAGTACTTTCCATTGAACTGTGTTCAAGGGTGCAATTCTATGGTAATGCCAAAAGTACGGTTTAGGGAGAACATTTCTTAATATGGTAATCTAGGGGAAAGACGTGCCCGAGGGACACGTTTTCTGTAGAAAAATCTCCAGGCCCATATGCTGCAAATGCAAATACATCGAAAAGTCATGGGTAATGGAAAGCTACGGCTACGAGGGGAAATTAATGTGGGCCAGATGGTAGTTAGGTGGGAGAATGTCTTGCACAAATGTGAGAAATCAGTCTCTCCTCCCTACCGCTCAAGTGTTAGTGCCATACCCACCGCACCTCCACTTTCTAGATGTAAATCTAGAGAAACCATGCATCTCATTTACTCAAAAGGGGGAAAACAAATAACCCAGCACAGCGGGAGGTGCAGAATCCATAGAGAAGCTGCCGTGCTAGCCGTGAATTAAAACTTAAATCAGAGGAAGGCATACCTGATTCTCAAAAATCTTAGAGCCACCGTATTAAAAACAAACCGGTGGGCGCTGGTGGCTCACGCCTGTCATCCTAGCTACTCGGGAGGCTGAGATCTGAGGATCACGGTTCAAAGCCAGCCCAGGCAGGAAAGTCCATGAGACTCTGATCTCCAATAAACCACCAGAAAACCGGAAGTGGTGCTGTGGCTGGGGTTGGTAGAGCGCTCGCCTGGAGTGAAATATCTCAGGGATGGTGGCCCTGGCCCAGAGTTGAAGCCCCACAACCGACAAAAAATTAAAAAAATAAAACAACCCCACACCATTACAGGACTAAGCATCGATCCTTAATTTGAGACCAGAATGTGTATTAGAGCCTGTCTACACTTAAAAAAATTTACAAAAAAAGTATTTATGCATCTTCTTATCACTTGCTTTTTCGAGGCGCTTTTGTTAGGCACTGCCTAAGAGACTGTAACAAAAACAGTACTCCTGAAGCGGGGCAGTCATTCTTGAGATGGTTTTGTCTATCAGGGTATGCCAACAGACTGATGCACGCTCTGATAGGGAAAGCCACATCTCTTCAAGGGAACGAACATAGTATTTTTTTTTTTTTCCCTTCAGAAATAGAAGAAAAAGCAGACACATTGAAAAAGTTAACTTCAGTGCACCATGGTGTTTCTCTACATCTACGAGTCATTGCGGTTCTAGAGGTTAGCAACCTTTCCGTCTAATCTAGTAGCAATGATTGTAGCCAATTAGAGGTGACAAAGAGGAAGGCAGAAGGGACACAATCAGGGCCCAATTCACTAAAAGGGGTTCTTGCGTAGGTAGCCGGTGCTGCACTGAGCTTTTGCCAACGTACAGTCTGCACGGTGGATAGAAATGGTCCCATTACCTACCTGGGTTGGGTAGGTCGGGGTTTTAGGTTTGCTAGTCTAGTGCACTTTGACACAGACAGAAACAGTGCAGGTGTACTTTTGACTTTCCTGTCTGTGTTTGTGCTCAGAAAAAGAAAAGAAAAAGAAAAAAAAAAAAAGCATTTGGTCCTTCCTCTAATGCTACAAATCCTGTGCCTATTACAAGAGCCTGGTATGAAGAAGGAAGACATCAATTAGTGAAATATCTTCAGGGCTTATTAACTGCAAGCCCTTCCTGTAATAGTCAATGTAGAATAATAATATCAGTCAATCAATGCATCCATGCATCCTCATCCATCTATCTATCTATCTATCTATCTATCTATCTATCTATCTATCTATCTATCTATCTATCCACCTATCAGTCTGCCTGCCTGCCTGCCTGTCTATCAATCTATCTGTCTGTCTGTCTGTCTGCCTGCCTGCCTATCAATCTCTCTCTCTGTCTGTCTGCCTACCTGCCTGTCTATGTATGTATGTATGTATCTATCTACTTACCTACCTACCTACAAGCCTTCTATAGCTTTTAAGTACTACTTGGATGGTCCAGTAATCACCTAACCACGTCCCGAGAAGGACGGAGCCCCAGAAGGACAGGATCATTATTAGCTGAAAGAGCTGTCACTCCTCTGGGGTTTTGTCACAGAAACCCATAGATCAGGAGCCCCAGGACGGATGGGCCCTGGCCTTTCAAGTGTTAAGATGGGAGGGTGAATAACCGACTTCCCTTTGAAAAGGAAATCAGACTCTTGGCTTGCAGAAGGACTCCTGCCCCTGAAGAGTTTCCCTGGGCTTAATTATTCCATCTATATGAAAGAATTCCCCGGGAGTTAAAAAATTAAGTCTGCGTACGGCTGATGAGCCTGCCGGTTCAATTCATTTCAGAGCCTGCGTTTCTCACTCTCTGGTGGAGATGGTTCAATCCCAGCAGATGACTGCGCAGTTAGGATTCCGGGGAAGGGCGGGCGCTGTAAGTGGGCTTTCTTTTCCCGAAGGCTCAGGTTAAGGTAGGTGCCATTGGCCTCCTGAGTAATTGTTGTTTCTCCTCCCTTGTCTGTGGTGTTGGGTGTTCTGGTTCGAATTGCAGATGAAGGGGGGTAAAAGGGGGTGAGTTCTGAGGGCTCGGTTTCGGGACCCCCGCCTCGTGTCACCGTGTCCGCTGGACACACCACACAGCCTCGGTTTATAAGACAATCTGGCTTCACTCTCATACACTTACATCCAGCCGCCGGGCACCGCGGTAGCCATCTTGAAGCAGATCGATCGCCTTGTTTCCTCTCCTCTTTTCTTTACTCTCCCCCACTCTTTTTTTAATTACCTGCCTCTCTGTTTAAAGACTGTCTCAAAACTGCTTTACTGCATCTCTTAAACGCTAAGCGTGTAGTTCTCACTGAAATGCAGAAGGTTAGGTTTGCCGGTGGAGATGTTTTTCCTCTCAGTCACAGGTTCATTGATCTTTTGGGGGGGGGGGGCACTCTGAGAGATGTAAAGGTACATGATGGATCAATCCTGTTTATCCATTTTCGAAAAGATGCTTGGATGTTCACCCACTCTGAGTGAGCTTAAATCTCAGGGGGCCGAGCCCGCCCTATATCGAAAAGATTGGCTTCAGAAGAACCGGTGCCGGCATCTTACATAGATTTGATCTCGCGGAGGTATTTTAGACAGGCAGGATAAATGCCCGGGTAGACCGCGTTCTGCATCTGCTGTGGAGCTACGGCCTCACAGCTATAAACACGAGCCCCTCACTGGACAGGCTTTACCCACATCCAGTTTCTTCTCCCCCAAGAACTCATTAAATCTGTTCATTAAATTCCCAGACGTTGGCATTATTTCATGTCGGGTGGATTAAAAATTTAGGACTCAGTCTCCCGCGCGTCAACCTCTCTGGCAAGGAGGGAGGTGCGTGACACATCGCACAATCTAGACCGATAAATAATTTTAGTGAATTGGGACCCTGAACTCACAAAAAAAAGACCCCATCCGGCCCGCAAGGTTTAGGAATGAAAGCTACAAACTACCACGGGGTTAAGTGCGTATCACGTATGTGTATCAGTGGACTGACCATACACTGCGTTGTAAGACATTTCATGATCTGGTGGAGGAGTTGAAATGTCTACAAAAAAAATAATGAGGATAAAATAATTAATTAAAAAGGAACCTAGGGTTTGCAGAGAGGGAAAAGGCTTAGCAAGAGAGGATTTCTCAGGTAGATTCCCACTGACATTAAATGATGACAGTAATAGCTTCCTTACCATTCAGGGCCACGAAGGAATCTGAAAGAGAAGAGGGAGGAGATGGTTATTTTACTGTTGGATGCTCGCTCTTCTGGACTGACAGGGAATGAGCTACTGGATCTGTGCCACACGCAGTCCCCCTCCTGAGGAAGTACCTTCACGTTCCCGCTCGGAACCTAGGGTGCGTTACGCTCAGTCTGGTCCCACACCTCCTGCTCATTCCGCCCCACGAGGAGAGAATGCCCACGGAGTTAGCAGAGGAAACGGTCGCTGCTGAGACTCGGAGCCTGGCTTTATACAGAGGGGCGTGGCGGGTAGATGTCTCTTCCTTAGGGGTCTCTCTGGATGCACCCTCAGTCCCAGAGGAGATGACCAGAGCCAAACACAACGAAAACTCCAAACCTACATACTGATTAGCACCCTGGCCCTGGATATAGGCTTCCTGAAACCCCTCTGTCTGAGGACCCCGAGCTTACTGGTACAGCGGACACTTTTACAGACATGGTGAGTGTCCATCCTCACATTCTTCCTGTGTTTGCTGATCCGATAGCCAATGAGCTCTCTATTTTCTACAGACGTTTATACATAACACTAGGTCATAGAAAGTATGATAAGAGAGGCTCACATGAAGCAGCTAACAAGATAGCTGGGAATACACACACACACACACACACACACACACACACACACACACACACACACACACCTCTGACACACAAATTATGGACCAGCATTGCTACACAAATGTGATAGAGACCCTGTAGCAGAACACCGTCTCCTATGCTAATTTTCAATTTGTTAAAAAAAAAGTGCATGTAAGAACACGACAGATCAGAATTTTCGCAAGGTATGCTATCTGCAAGTAAAAACACAGGAGAGTAGGACTGTGGAGATAAGGCTGCCTATTTGCCTGTATGTGATCCCTCACAAAAAGAAAGAAAAATTCCAGGTGGAAAGGTAAAATGCCACCGAGTCTGAGATTTCAGCACTTGTGACTCAAAGGCAGAGATTTTTCTTTCCTCATGATCTGCATTATAAAATCAACTATCAGAAGTCAGACAAGATTGCTTTCTTGGAAATTGCGTTTGGTACCATCTGAGTGCGAGTTTCTTGAAGTTTAACATATATAATGCTTTAAAAAAAATCATCGCAAGCCAAACGTTTTCCGAGAACATTCTTTACATCAGCCTTCGTAAAGCATTTTTAGAAGACAATTATCAATCGGGCCTGAGGACAAACGGACAGGATTTTGACAAGGGCTCTTTATACAAAGCTCTGACCAAAAGGTCCCCATTTACGAATGCTTGAAATTAACTCTGAGGTTAGTGTGAGCAGGTAATACTTATTACAAGGTTATTGAATCACTTGGTCCTCATGGGTTATATCCGAACTATTTTCCAATCTCAAATGGTAATATACACAAATCTAATTTGGAAAAATAATTACATTCACGAGTGGATATGTTCGAGAATAAAACAGTCCCACACTCAATTAACAAAAGTAGGGCGCGGTAATCAATCTTCTTGTTATTTGGCTACAATACAGTGTTACCGCACATTAAAAAAACAACCAAAACCAGCAGAACTGTCATCATGTAATGGAAGTGCTGATGTAGCTTGCTGTTTTGCTATAATTAATATTCGCCACAGCATTAGAATAATGGAACAGGTGTCAGAATAATACAAGAGCACTGTCAGGGCTGGCATCCATCCTCAGGCACCGCGGCCTTCCGGAGAGGACGTGATTCCTACCCCTAGTTCTGGTGTTGTCTGTACTCAGACCCACACGTGGGAGAGACAGATAATACTGCCAGGCTATTTGATAAAAGCATGTTTATCCAGAAGCAGCACAGATTAAAAATCTCGACTTACTATGACAGTCTCCCAGAGCATCTGTATTGCCGCGTTCGATGTCCTGCTCAAAAGCCAGTCTGCAAAAAAAAAAAAAAAAGACAAAGACACCAATAAACACTGTAAGTTAATTCAAGGTGAGTGTTCTACCATGTGAGCTTTTTGGTGCTTCATTGAAAATAAAGTCTCTCAATGCCTTTCCTGCCCGGGCTGGCTTTGAACCGCGATCCTCAGATCTCAGCCTCCTGAGTAGCAGGGATGACAGGCGTGAGCCACCGGCGCCCAGTTCTCCCTGAGCCTTTCTTGAACATTGAAAAAGTTCGAATGTTTAAACACACTCCTCATACATGCAGCGAAGTCTGTGAACTAAAAGGAAGTCTCTGACTCTCTGCTTCCTCTTTCACCCCCTGGACTCTCCCAGAACCTTTTCTATGTTTTTCCCCAAGCAAGAACATGTCTACGCAGTGGATGTGTGGGGCAGCCGGAGGTGGCACGTGCCTCGGAAATCACTTCTGCCCGCTGCTGAGCCCTAATTCTCTGGCACGTTCCTCTTCATCTTACCAGTCCTCTCGCCCACCCATGGCCTATGGAATCCTCACGCCTCTCACAAGCACGATTTCACTAATAGGCACCCCCCAGTGATCCACAGGGACTTGCCTTTTGGGAGAACATGCTGCTGCTTTGCACCCTTTGCGTCCTCAGAACGATCCCATTCTGGAAATACCACACTCGGGTGAATGCACTCGGGTGCACTCACACCCAACCCTGCGCGTATTTCCTTCTACATTTATAGAAGGCGTCCTAAGCTTCCACAGAGGAGAGAAAAACGTGTGTGTGTGTGTCTTTTGTCTCTCTGGGCCTGACTTACTTCACGTCACATAATTTGGTATTTGTGTTGGCAGGGGAGGATTCCAGCAGTGGCAATTCCTTAGAAAAACAAGCGCACGGTCCAGCGAAATGAATGCCAGGAAGCTGGTGTTAGGCCCGTGCGGGGGCGGGGAGATGACTGGACACAGAGCCGGTGTGGAGAACAGAGTTGCGTCCTATGCAACTAAGGAGGGGGGGAGGAGGGGCTGTGTTGGGAGGGGAATGAGGAAAGGAAAGAGGGCCACAGTGATCAGGATGCACTGAACCGACGCGTGGAAAGGCAACTCTTTGCTACGCCGACTTAAAAGATAACGAAGTGCAGAGCAAAAGAAAAACTCAGGGAAGCCGGGCGCCGGTGGCTCAGGCCTGTCATCCTAGCTACTCAGGAGGCTGAGATGTGAGGATCGTGATTCGAAGCCAGCCCGGGCAGGAAAGTCTGTGAGACTCTGATCTCCAATGAACCACCAGAAAACATCCAGAAGAGAACCGTGGTTTGTGTGGTAGAGCAACCAGCCTTGAGCAAAAACCCCAGACTGTCAGCGTATCAGTGTGCACGTGTGTGTGCGCACACACACACACACACACACACACACACACGTTTATAAATAATCCTGCTAGTTTTGCTTCCTCATTGAACGCAGAAAGAAGACAAAGCCTCCTCTTAGCTCCCTTGTGCATTGAGGTCCTTCCTCCTCCATCCCCAAGATTCCCAAGAGGAAGCCTGGAATATTCCAGCATTGTCAACAGCCCCACTTTGCAAGGCTGTTAGAATTAATATACAAGGGGTGTGCTAGGAACGCAGAGGAGAGCCGGCCATGCTGCTGCTTCCCGATGCGTAGGTCCAGGCCGCAGCCCGGGCAGGTGGGTGGTGTGCCCGGGGCGGGTGGGTGGTGTGCCGTCTGTGAGCACGGGGCCAGCGCAGGCCGCGCCCACCCCGCATGGCCCATACCTGCTGAACGGCGACAGCTGCCCGCAGGAGCCCGCCTCCTTCAGCCAGCCGCAGTACGGATCCCTGGAGGCGATGCAGGTCCTGCAGGGAGAAGAGGCCGGTGAGCCCCTCCACCGGCGCCTCCTCCCAACCGCTGCCTCTTCTGATGAGCCCCGAATACGTACTTTTTACACTTGCCGTGCCGCTCGCACCGGCCGAGAGGGACCTTTATCACGCAGGTGGAAAACGCGACGTACAGGGCGCTGCTGGCTCGGTCCAGCTGCATTCCCATAATCCTCTTGTCTTCCACCCCCTCGTAGCTGCACCTGGACAGGCAGAGGAACAGACCCACTGGCGAATGCGAGCTTCCTCCGGAGGGCGTAGACGCGGCACACATCTGCGTGCACGCGCACAGGCTCGCACGGGCACAGACACGCACAGGCACGCGCATATCGGCCAGGGGGAAATACAAGTAGGATGTGTTAACAAGGTTTTATTAAGCCGGGCGCCGACTCGCGCCTCTAAATCCTAGCTACTCAGGAGGCTGAGATGCGAGTATCACAGATCAAAGCCAACCCAGGCAGGAAAGCCTGTGAGACTCTTACCTCCAATCAATGACCAGAAGAGTCAGAGGGGAGTTGTGGCTCAAGCGGTAAGGGCGCCAGCCTTGAGTAAAAGCGGCTCAGGGACAGCACCCCAAGTCCTGAGTTCAAGGCACCAAAATGGCACCAAAAACAAAATTAAATTTTTTTTTCTTTAACAGACAGCATGAAAAAAAAAATCACTTAAAATCCACACAATAACTTAAGTCTACCATGATTTTTCTCTGTGTGCCCAGGGCCTGTAATAGTGTCACAAATGATTACCAAGAAAGTTTGGCAGATTGCACTCACTTTTCTGGGTTGTAAACGCTCATCTCCTCCAGGAAAAGGCTATCATTCAGGAAGCCGCTATTTCCGATCCGAGCCAAGAATTTCAGGATGATTCCTTTCTCGGATCCCAAGAAGATCACAGTGTGGTTTTGGTAAGGCCCGGCGCCCGTGTCCACGGCGATTTTGGTCAGGCGGTATCTAAAATGACAAGGTCACCTCGTTGGTTGGCTTTTGGGTTTTGTCTTTTTTTAAACGCCCTCGCTGGTCTATCATGACAGGGGGGCCGTTTTCCACTTCACACAGTTGTGTGTGACAGCGCTTTCTAGTAATAATCTCAAGGAGAATACGCGCAGGGAAATAGAATACTTTCAGTCTGTGCAACCCTGGATGCAGATCCAGATGCAGCCTGTTACTGCGGCTCCGAGAGGGGGAAAGAAGGATGTGTGTGTGTGTGTGTGTAAGTGTGTGGACCAATTTCCACAGCGTGTAAACACACCCAAGGTCATCTGAAACTACTCTCGGTGGCCATCCCTCCCCCAGGGCTGCTCCCCAGACTGAGAGCATAAGCAAACCCATTCAACATTCTTTGTAGCTTCAAAGGGCCTCATCACCCCCCCCCCCCCCCCCCCGTGCTCTCCCTGCAGAGGTGAAAAGCAGCCAAACATAGAGGGGCGCAGAGGGCGCTGAATCTGGCAGGTGGGTGGGGCTGAGTCTTGCGGGTACGTAAGGCCGGACAAGCTGGGGGTAAGGCCACAAGCGCAGGGCAAGACTCAGTCCTCCCAGGCACTGTCTTCCTCTGAAGGGGAAACGTGGCAGGAACCCACTCCGGCATGGGATCTTCACCAGCCCTGAGCACCAGGCCGGGAAGAGGAGGACACAGGTTTCAATCAAGTCCGGGAATTGGAAATGGCGGGGAATGATCGCTTCGTGCCGCGGACCCGCCACACATCGGCTTTGTTTGAACACACGCCGTCCTCAGAAGAAGGGGGCGGCCACCAGAGACAGGCCCCCACCCGGTCCCCACCGGCCCTGCTCGGCCTCTTCTCCGTGATTCACATGAGCTGGGGGCCAGGAGCTAACCGGGAAGGGAATGGTTTCCTTTCCTCTAATTGCTGGGCTGTGCACAGCGCAGCCTTGGAAAGCCGGCAGCGCTCTTCCCGCAGGGGAACGTGGCTCGTCACCAGGTCGGGGCGGGGTTCGCCGGGCCTGGCCGCCTGTGCGGTGGCCGCGTCTGGGTCTGGGCCTGGCCGCCTGTGCGGTGGCCGCGTCTGGGCCCGGCCCAGCGGGAGACAGGAGGGAAACGCATGGCGGCTTTGGCTTTCCGGCACTCACCTGACCATGGTTCTCAGGAACCAGGGTCTGTGGATGATGGAGGGGACGGCCTCGTCCATCAGCGGGTGCGTCTTGATGAAGTTCAGGGTGTCATCCGGGAACTCGCTGGAGCTGGCGTATTTTTCTAAGGACGAGGAACCGGCACAGCAACCCGGCCTGGAACGGAAACGAACACCAGGAGGAAGAGGGAGGGAGTTTATTTCATGCCTTCTGGAAGAATCTTCTTGAATGAACTGCTTCCCTAAGCCCCTGGCAGAAAGGGGAATTTATCCACCACGGGGCAGAGGAAGTGGAAGGATGGGGGATGCTGACACCTCCTCTGGCCACGCCCCGCCTTGGCCCCTGCCACGCAGAAGCCCACGGGCCAGGTTTGCCCTCAGCCCAGGCCAGATCCACTTCTGCAAAACGACACAAAACGCAGAGCCCTGCTAGAGGCTCTCCAAGTCTCTCTGCGACATCAACCGTCATCCAAGGGTAGAAAAAGAAGACCGCGTAACCATCGCACGGCCTGGGGCTCCAATATACAAACTGTTCCTTTCTAAAGCTGTCTTTCCTTTCGTGTGGTTTGGGGGCAGGTATGCAAGGCAGGCGATGTGGAGGGCTCTCTGCTGAGAGGTCATTTTCCTTAGAACAAACAGGAAGGAGAGTGGAAATGCACTGCAGGAGAAACCCCATGGCTTGGGGAGAAGAGTCATCTGCCAAAGCCAGAAGGTGGGAACTGCCCAGCACCGGTGGCTCATGCTTTACATCCTGGCTACTTAGGAGGCTGAGGGGGGGAGGATTGCAGCCGGAGGCCGGTCCTCATGGGAAGGTCTGCAGGACTCTATCATAGCGGAAGATGCTGGCCGAGGCGGCGCATGCCTGTAATCCCGGCTAGGTTGGGAAAGCCCAAAGAAGGTGGATTGCAGTCCAGGTGTAAGGTCGGGCAAAAAAAGGTGAGGCATTCCCTCCCAAAGAACCAAATGCCAAAGGGAGCTGAAATTTCGGCTCGGTGGTCAAACGTGGGCCTGGTGAGGATAAAGCCCTGAGTTCCAGGTCTAGTAGCAGGAAAAATAATAGTAATTAGCTGTGGTGATGGGCGGATTTGGATTCAGCTCTAGAGCCGTCTTGGCCTAAGGTCCAAGTTCAAAACTTGTGAGGATGCAGCTACCTGGGTGTCTTGTAGAATGGGAGGGAGGGAGACACGGCAGAAATCATTTCACCACGCTGCGTGAGTGTGCCCAGCGTCCTTTCCCTCTCCCTGCCTCAGTTTCCCCAACTCTAGACCAACGGCACTGGCCATAGCAGATGACCGCCCTCAGCTTACCACCCCGGAGGCCCACGGGTGTGTGTCCTGAGCACGTACCTGGGTCTGGGGACTCGCTCATCGGGAACGGGCGTCCAGGTGGAGTCGGGGGACTTCTGCTCTTTGAATCTCCCGGTGAACACGTTGGCAATGTCCCCCATGTCATAGGCGCAGACCGCCGAGCCGGGAATGCTGCAAAGAACACAGCACGGCGGCCGTCAGTGACCGGCAGCCGCAGAAAACTCCCGGGACAGGAGGTCGGGAAGTTCAAAGTTCACACCCCGAGCGCATGGAGAAGAGGCTTCTCCCCACCAAATCTGCATTAAGGGCCTTCAAGAATAGGCTAGCAACGGCAACCCATTTTATTTTATTTTATGTCCGTCACGGGGCTTGAACTCTGGGCCTGGGCGCTGTCCCTCAGCTCTTCAGCTCAAGGCAAGCGCGCTACCGCTTAAGCCACAGCGCCACTTGCGTTTTTCTGGTGATTTATTGGAGATCAGAGTCTCACGGGCTTTCTTGCCTGGGCTGGCTTTGAACCGTGATCCTCAGATCTCAGCCTCCTGAGTAGCTAGGATGACAGGCGTGAGCCACCGGCGGCCAGCTTTTTTATTTTTTTTAATGCATCGTCTCTTCTTTGAATCTTGAAGGAAGTACTGTGTTGGTGATGGAAAGTTCAGGAATTCCCTGATGTGACTCCTCTCCGAATTTTATATTTAAATGTACTTCCTGTCCAGTTGCATAACGCTCAATGATGTAAGTCTCTCGAATCCCAATGCGTAGTAAAGAAAGGACTCCGTAAAGGGTTAGATAACAATTAGGGCACTTTTTTTTCCCCCAATCAATGGTTGAGAAAGCGTGAATTATTCACTCATCTGTCTACATCTGCATCCATGTTTGTTCATGTCTATGCTGACCCTCCAGCTAGCCACGCATTCTAACCAGGCTTGGAAAGAGGGGAGTACCACACTGTTGGGGTAACCGGGGGAGAGATGGACGCTTGCTTGCTGTGTGGTGCGTGGGAGTGAGTTCATCAGTGTTGCAAGGAATTACTTCTTAAGTCATTAGGAGACGTTCATGCCATCTTTTAATTCCCTAATGCAATTATTGGCGTATTACTAGCAAAGCAAGAGCCGGGGAGAGGATTAAAAAGCTTACTTAGAGGGAGGCTGTGGGAATGTTGACGTCTACGCTATTTCTCGTTTGCAGAGCGAGTACGCCAGACGTGGAATTCTCTGTACATCGTCCCTCTGGTGTGCCACAGTTCACATCCTAACCTATTTTGTTGAAGCTTTCGACACATTCTATCTATTCAACTAGATAAATGCGGTCTGAGGAATCAAGGGTGCTCACAAAGTAACTAAAGACAGCCAGTTACTTTTCAACCTCTTCCCGAAGGATAGAATAACTTGTGAGGTCTTTCTTCCTTCCCTCTCTTCCTCCTATCCTTCCCTCTTTCCTTCCTTCCTTCCTTCCTCCCTACGTTGTGTTGTATTGATGTCATTCCCTAATCTACAGCAGTCAGGGGACCAGAAAGCAGAGCCGTGGCCGCTGCTGTTTCATTGAAGGGAAATGGTGTATTGCGAGAAGAGAGTCCATTCAGAATCTCCAACATTCCGACACAGGAATGAGAACACCGTGCGTGCGTGTAGTTACATTTCACGGCCCCTAGGACCTGGAAATTGGCACTGGCTTCACGGCAAGCGCGGTGCCAGGGAACTGTCCTCAAGCCTCATTCCCCTTCTGTTCTACGATGGCCACACGTTTTCACTGTCTTAGCTGCAGACAGACGCAGGGACAATCCGTACTTCATGGAGGACTCCAAAGTCACAGGCACTGAAGTTGGGTTCTGGGCCACAGACCAACTCGCTTAACGAACTCACTTCAGGGGGACTTTCCCAAACACAGTGGTGCTCCAGCTCCAATCTCTCTCTCTCTCTCTTTTGTCGGTCATGGGGCTTGAACTCCGGGCCTGGGCGCTGTCCCTCAGCTCTTCAGTTCAAGGCGAGTGCTCTACCACTTGAGCCACAGCGCCACTTCCAATTTTTTGGAGATTCATTGGCAATCAGAGTCTCATGGACTTTCCTGCCCAGGCTGGCTTTGATCCTTGATCCTCAGCCTCCTGAGTAGCTAGGATGAAAGGCGTGAGCCGCCAGCGCCCGGTCTGCTCCAATCTCTTCACGGGAGAGTAGACCGAGGTACCTGGGTCCTAAGGCCCGCAGTATCACGCTAATGAATTCTTAGTATTCATTGCAAAGGTACCAATCCCGTCATGGGAAGATCAGCTGTGTCATGCTGGGTAGACAGGAGAAATAGGAGAACTCCCCCCCCCCTCATTCCAAACCTGCACCTTCCATATTGAATTCCTGAAGCAAGAAATGGAATTACCATCATCATTTTTGGTTCCATTTTCTCAAATATAAAACGCATGCAACGCAGTAATAACACACGAAGGGTATTTACGTACAGTCATCTAAATAGAAGATACGGTTTTTAAAAATAAATTATCTCCTCTTCCCCAGACTCCTAACTTTCCTGGCATCCGTAAATTCGTCGTTCCCTGAGGCAAACGAAGCGTTCACTAGGGCACCTCTTAGCTGCACACACAATGGCCGTTTTCCATTCGTTGCAAACACGGTGCGTTAGAAGAGGAAGGGAGAAAGGGCGCCGGGGAAACACGATTCCAGCGGACACGGTTGGGCTCCCGGTTACCTGTTGTAAGGCGTGGAAAAGGTGGCCAGCACAACGTCCCGGCCGTTGACGCGGATCACGTCGGTGACGGCCTGCAGGATGTTGAAATAGAAGTGGGAGTCGCCGGGCACAGAGCAGTTGAGCCGGGCCTTCAGGAAGGAGGTCCACTGCTTCTCCAGCACCCGCTGGGACCCCCCCATGTCGTTCTTGCACACCTGGGCCACCCTGGGAAACACGACCTGGAGTGGGGGGGAGGGAGGGAGAGAAACCCACGAGATGCCATCACTGTCCCGCCAGAAGCTAACAGACCCGGAGACCACAAGGTGCTTAATTTCATATTGCATTTCTGAAATCAGCAGCCAGAAAGAAAGAGAGTGGGGTGGGGGGGGGGAATAAGAGTATAAAACTCCGCGTTGGAACAGCTTGTTTTAAAAGATAAGGCTGTGGCATTTAATACGGAGCCATAAATCCTTCCGGGGGATCAGCTCCCAGACACATCAACTCATTTCCATACAGACTGCTTCGCTTTTTCTTTCCTCAAACAAAAGCGCACTCTGTATGTGCCACCGCTGCCTTCCTGCCCGGCTGCCTCTGGGGTCTGAGGCTCCGGCTTGCGGCGTGAGCTCCTCTCACCCTGCACGACCACCCCGGCATCTACCTCCCCTCCCACCTTCGCGACCCCATCGCTGAGGATCACAGGAACAGGAACCGGAAGAGACCAACCCGTAACCGTCCAACCGTGCCCTTTGTGGTGGTTGTTTTGCGATGAACGCCAAACAGAATGAAAACAAACAAACAAACTGTCGGGACTCCTAAGCCCCACTGGAGGATTATTCGGGATGCAGTGGGAAATGAACAGACACCTGGCGGTTCGTAAAGATACTTGAGGGGTTCCCTGCAGTTCGCTACTGCTCTTGGTGAATGAGGGCAGAAGAAGAGAGCAATGGGGTTCAGACAGTCTCGTGGACCCCTCCCTTCTGACTGCTGTTGGCCACATCGTCCTCAGGCTGACCGGTCTCTTGCCAAGGTCATTACCCGCTGACAAGGTCACGGAGGGACCCGCAAGGCCCGAGGTGCCTCACCTTGCCCATGGTGTTGTATTCCACAGCGATTTCCCTGAAGAAGAAGTAGATATAGTTCCCGTAATCCACCGCCTGGACAAAGTATGGCTCTGTAAAGACACGGGTGCTTTAACGGAGGGAACTGTCGGGTCCCCACCCTCACGCGACACTCCGAAGACGGGCGCCGCACGGGACGCCAGGCACGCCAGCGCCTCGAACCTGCCACCACCTCTGCCGTCCACGAGAAACGGACCATAAAGGGGGTCTCGAGAACCCCTGTGGTTTTCCTTTGCACACAAGGGGAGGCCCGCCTTACAGAGGAATGGGTACCACTGCCCGGTCGCCCTGAACAGCTTCTCCCCTGTCCTCCCATCCAGTCAAAGATTCCAGAAGCTCACAGAAAATGGGGGAGGGGGGAGCTAAGTCTACTGGGCCACAGGAGGCAGCTGACGTGGTTGTGTCTGGAAGGAACCACCGCCGAAGGGAATGGAGAATCTACAGTCCCTCCATCTCTCCACCCGCCCCCAGTCCTTCCGACGGTTCACCTTTCAACCACTTGGAGTCGTGCTTGACGGTCCTCAGGGTGGGGCTGTCTCCCAGGCTGCGGTAGATGACCGCATCGATAGCCAGGAAGTCCGTCACCGTGGCCGAGTACAGTTTTCCATCTGGGGAGAGAAAGGAGGGGTGAACGGCGGCGGGCGCAGAAGGTCAGGGGCCTCGGGAAGGTCATGGCTGACGGGCCAAAATCCGAGCGTCACCAGGAAAAGGTTCAGCCCCTGTTCCTCCCCACGCCATTTTAAATGTGGGATCATGGAGGCGAAACAGCTTTCATTTTTAAATTGCCTGGCCATTTGATTTTCCGTCTAAGCAGCGGCGGCGGCGGCAGCGGCGGCGGCTCAGGGAACAGGATAAATGGGAAGCGTCGTTTGCTTCGCTGGATTACACTGCTGGGAGACTGAAAGTCCCTACAACTTTTTTTTTTAAACACCCCTCCCCGCCTTGCCATGAGCAAACAAATAACCAAATGTTCTAGAACAGCAGAATCTGTGTAGAGTAATTAGAAAGGATCATTATGTCCGCGGTAAAAATATTATTTCTTGATTCCCTTTTATTGATTATGCGTCTCCATAAATTTATGTCAAAGTGATTTATGAACAGCCCTTTTCGCTGAGCTCTTCCATACAAAGAACTGACAGGGTTTTTGTTGGTGTTGTTATGGTGGTGGTGGTGGTTGTTTTTTCTAAAAACTCTTTATCCACACTCACTTGAGCAGTGTTCACCACCTCTGCTTTGGGTCTGAACTGACATGTTCTCAGATTCAACTCGGAACTCTCTCGATGATGATGATTACTATTAATATCGGCGTGATTAAAACGCGTTACCCCTTGTTGGATGTGAACCACAGGCCACACACCTTTTGACTGACAAACACGCACCTAACAAATCGCAACTTTTTTTCTTTCTTTTGCTGCCAGTACTGGGGCTTGACTTCAGGTCTCGTGCCCTTTCACTCAGCTTCCTAGCTCAAGAATGGTGCTCTACCACTTGAGTCACGCCTCCCGTCTGGCATTTCGCTGGGTAGTGGGACCTGGGAGTAGCACAGACTTTTCTTCCCAGGCTGGCTTTGAACCATAATCTTTCAGGCCTCAGCCTCCTGAGTAGTTGGGACGACAGGCGGGAGCCGCCAGGCCGAATCATGACTTTTAATTTTTTTAATGGGATATAGAGGCTCTACTCTTCCAGCTCCAGAGCCCAGCACTGCGGCTCCCTCTCCCTTTCCTACCTTGTCTGTCCTCCGGTCAGTTTACAGCTTCCTTGACCAAACCCCGGCTGAATTCCTCCAAGTTCCCAACCAGCGCTGGCTCCGAGAGCCGGTGACGGGGAGGCTGCCCTTCCCGCCGGCCTGGCTCCCTTCCAGCAACACTCAGCCTCTCTCTTCTGGGGGTGGAACTCCCCCAAACCTTCCTCTCCCTCCATCCTGCCACAGCACAGGGGACCCACAAACGGGTGGCTCTGGGGCCCTGGGCGCCGAAGTGCTCATGGGGTCGGGGTTGGCAGGTTTGTCTCGGCTGCAATGGAAATTACAGCTGAAGAGCGGCTTGTGAAGACACTCATTATCATGCCCGCACCCCACACGCTCACACACACACCCCCCTACACAGACACACAGCTGGCCACGGATGAAGTCCTGCTTAAAATGCCGGCGCGCACCTCGACCGAGCTAAATCCTAAAGCAATTTGTTTTTCGTGCAAGCTCTGTCTTGATGAATCTTTTGCTGCGGAAGGAAGGGGAGGGAGAGTTGGGGGGCACGTGTGGGTCCCCCTACCAAACAGCATCACGTGCGTGGCGCACCCGCAGCCTGGCGAGCCACACGCAGGTCACCTCAGGTCACACATCCGAGAAGATGCGTGCCGGGAGCTGTAGGCCCGGACCTCACTGCTTCGGGAAGCTTCCACCTGCTTCCCGCTCTTCCCTCTGTCGAGGAAGAGGTGGATTCGGTCGCTGCCTGTTCACTGCGTTCCCCTGACCCTTCCCTCCGGACACAGAAGCCGGGCCAAGTGTGGCACGGGCTTCCCTTCACCAGCAGGGGTGGCATTTCCGAGGTGAGTTGCGTGGGAAGGGCATACTTAATCAGAGCGTTCACCAGAGATGTCATGCACAACCGCCGCTCCGGAAAACCCAGGCCGGGCAACCAGGCCGATTACCTGCAAACAGTGCGATGTTGGCGTGTTTGGCGTCATACGGGCATCTGGCCATCCCACTGAACTCATCCCCCGACGGTTCCAGAGTGTCGATCTGTGTGGAGAACGGGACGTGAGTGCAAACCAGCACCGTCGGATGGCCCTTGTCGAGTGCTTACAAACGGCGATCCTCACGGGTCCCGTCTAAGTAACAGCCCCAGGGTCGGGGGAGAAACCGAGACTCCAAGAGATGAAAGGGAAATTCAGTCCTATCTGCTTGAGGCTCGGCCAGGGTATAAACAGAGTCGGGGTTCGGATAAAACGGTCTCAAAATAATCACTGAGATCTGAGGAAGTTCAGCAGCCGGGACCCACCCGTCCCCATCTCTACAGCAAATTCTTTTTTTTTTTTTTTTTTTTGTTGGTCGTGGGGCTTGAACTCTGGGCCTGGGTGCTGTCCCTCAGCTCTTCAGCTCAAGGCAAGTGCTCTACCATTTGAGCTACAGCGCCACTTCCGGTTTTCTAGTGGTTTATTGGAGATAGGAGTCTTACAGTCTTTCCTGCCCGGGCTGGCTTTGAACCGCGATCCTCAGATCTCAGCCTCCTGAGTAGCTAGGATGACAGGCGTGAGCCACCAGCGTCCGGCTTCTACAGCAAATTCTACAGCAAATCATCTTCCTGTCTGGATTGGTTTGGCCTGACCAGTCCCACCTGTGGGGGTTAAATCCCACTGGAAGGTTCTGGAACTTTTCCTCAGGTTAGCTGGCAGATTCATGTGGCATCAGCAAAGTGGGAGGAAAAAAGCAAAAACACTCTTGGGGTGAAAGGGCATTTTACCTGGAAGGTTTTTTTTTTGGGGGGGGGCACAGATTTTGAGGGCGGACAGAAGGTAACTGCCTCACACAGTACTGGAGACGCACCACCAGCCCCGAATCCAGGTGCTTGACAAGGTAGACATTCGGGAGAGACTCAAGCTGCTATTAAACACTCTCCAATCAATTGTACCATCCGCCCCGCACTTCAGGGCTGTGACAGACCTTTCCGGGGTCTGGCCCCAGCTGAACACACTCTCCGTTGTAACTCTCCAGTCCAGGATCACACAAGAGCTGCGTTTGAAATGTGATTGTGGTTTTAAGAGACGGGTAGCCAGGCGCCGGTGGCTCACGCCTGTCATCCTAGCTACTCAGGAGGCTGAGATCTGAGGATCACAGTTCAAAGCCAGCCCGGGCAGAAAGGTCCGTGAGACTCTGATGATCATCTCTCTGGTTAACCAGCAAAAAGCTGGACATGGAGCTGTGGATCAAGTGGGAGAGCACTAGCCTTGAGTTACAAAAAGGAAAAAAAAAAAGCTCAGGGACAGTGCCAGGCCCTGAACTTAAACCCCAGGACTGGCACAAGGGGGGGAAAAACAGGTGAACAGCCTTCCCTGTTGGCACATTATTCACCAAAGTCATTTCCAGAAGCTACCTCCCTACTGAGAATTTGCTGTTGAGCTGGGAACGCTGTCATTTTTTTTTCCCTTAAGTCTTGGATCCTGATCTGTCAATAAAAAGCACTTAAGAGGCCTGGAGGCGTGGCTCAGTTGGTAGAACGCCAGCCAGCCAATGAGCGAAAGCTGTAGTTTCCAGCCAGCCAAGGAGTGAAAACCTTAGGTTCCAGCCAGCCAATGAGTGAAAACCTTAGGTTCCAGCCAGCCAATGAGTAAAAGCCTTAGGTTCCAAGTTGGAGACCCAATCTCAGACAAAAGGGGGGGGAATAAAGCAGGGGAGAGAGGGGTGTCATGGATTCTTGGGGCCATGCTTACGCGAGGCACGGAGGAGGAAGAGGCCGAGGCTCTGGGCCCAGCCATTGCAGGCGTGGGCACAGAATGCGCTGGCTTCATCCTGGCCCGGGTACCGGGAATGGGGTGCCAGGGAGGCGGCGGCTTCACCAGGGACGCCTATGTCTGGCTAGGACATTCTGTGGGTTACGTGGCAGGCTGCCCACGGTCGGTGACAAAACACGGCCCGGCGGTGCCCCCTTACCTTGTAGTTTTTACAGGAAGGGTTGAAGGCATTGGTTCCGCAGACAAACAGCGTGTCGTCGCTCTTCTTGAGAAGAACTTTGATGAAGTTGTGGCACTCATCCTAGGAGAGAAACCCAGCTGTTCGGCATCACGGCGGCTCAATCCCGGAGCCCCGTTTGTCCCCACCGACGCGACTGGCCCATTCACAGGCCGTGCAAGCCAAGATGGCCGGGGAGCTGGTTGGTTTCCCTCCTCGGGGCGACGTCTGAGTCGCTCCGGATGTGAACCAAAGGGCGTGGACCACCGCCGTTGCCACAGTAGATGAAGAGGAGGGAGAGAGCAGGAGAGCATGCGTTCATTCTAGGCCGCACAAGGAAGGCAGGGAGAAGCCCCATCTCCTATCCTGTTAATTTTAATGCCAGGGTCTCTCCATGTACCAGGCTTCCAGTGGAAGTGTTTTTATGGTATTAAGTGCCCCCCCCCCCCATCTTTTCTCCCTGTGGACTCCGGCCTTCCTTCCACGTAAACTATGGGACAGGCAGCCGGCTTCTCCCCCGGGGAGTTCACGACGCGGCCTGAGCAGCTGCTGCAGTATTTCATCACATTAAACGTGAGCTATTTTTTGCAAATTAAAGCCTTCACTAAGTTGATGGGAAAAGCAAGGATGGAGAGGAAAGGAGTGCGGGAAGGCTCGGCAGGCAGGATGTGTTCCGCACGGCGATTGCAGTCAGGGCGGGGGAAACAAACATCCAAAACTTAACGGCTACAGGAGCTACAGGAGACCCAAGTGTCTACCTTGTGTTTCCCCTTCATTCTGCAGGTGTCCACATCAGCCTGTCTAGATTTCCACGTCAGTTTCTGCCGGGGGGAGAATGGAGACAGAAATCAATTAGAGCCCAGAGGTGGTTGCATTTGATTTGAGAAGTAAGAGCTCCCTGGGGGGGGGGGGGGGGGGGAAGGGGAGGGAGACACAAGGCTGAACCTGGATTTATTGAAAGCTTTCCACCCCCTTTTCCTATGATTAATTCACCATCACAACAAAAGATCAGGAGCGGGCATTTCATTGTGAACTCGTTATCTATTTATTAAACTACAGAACAGTTTAGGCCTGGAGATCAAAGACGAAGCTGCGGACAAATCTCACATAACGTGGTCAAATTAACTGGCTCGATCATGCTCCCTTTGAGAAAAATGCATATCCTCCCCCTTACTGTCAGAAAGGAGGCTTTTATTTAAAATATAGGAGCCATTTTCTTGAATGCGCTCGAACTGGACAGAGATCTGATGTGGCTTATTTTCCTTTTCCGTAAACGAATAAACAGGTTCTACTGACATGCGCCCTGAGGGGCTGTGAGCATAGAGGGTACGGGGACATTTTGTGTCTGTCTGAAGTGGCTAATGGTCAACTGCCTGGACCATGGGAATGTTAAGGCTGCAGCAGTTTTGTGGACGGCATCCGTGGGACGATTTGACTTCTGCAGGTAGATGTTTTCCTGGAGAAGCAGGGCCCTGGTTCCTTGGAAGGACTTCAGGCCTGGCCCAGAGCTGCCCAATGTCCGTCTGTCCAGCTGTGAGTGAAATCGGAAGGACCTGACCCTGAGCTCGTGTCTGGCCCTTGCTTCCTTCTGCTTTGGGCCTGGACTAAAGGAGTGCAGGCATTTCCCGGCCGCCCGACTCTGCATTAAACTCATTCATCCTCTTTCAAGGGACAAACTCCAAAGCCCTTTATTCAGGAAAGATAGGGTTTTTGGTTTCTCATTAATGTCTTTTTAAAAGAACAACTTACTTTGCTACAGTAAATTTCTTCTGTGTGGGGTGTATCTATGTCAACAGTATAAATATGGTCCCTAGAAGAAAAGAAAAATAAACATGAGGTCAAACATAACAGTTCATTGTTTTGTTTTTTATTTCCCCCCCCTGCAGAATGAGTTATGACTTGGGGCAGATAAAACCAGATTCCCTTCCTCCCTTCCTTCCTTCCTTCCTTCCTCCCTCCTTCCCTCCCTCCCTCCCTCCCTCCCTCCCTCCCTCCCTCCCTCCCTCCCTTCCTTCCTTCCTCCCTTCCTTCCTAGAAAAAAATCAATAAGTCATACACATGTTAGAAAAGAGTAACCCAGCACAGGAGTGATGTTTCTGGGTCATGTTCGCACCTCCTGCGTGTGGTGAGCTCTAGATCTACGGGGTCGTCACCTTTCATAAACACTTCACATGGCTGCCCATCCCCCCCCACCCCCCAGGGACATCCTATCTGGTAGTGAGCGCTTGGGGATGGGGGGGGAGCACCGCGAAGGTCACACTGGTGTAGCGATGGGTGAACACGTGGTGTGGACAGAGCTGGAAGTGGAGGGGAGCTGGTCCCCCATGTCCCTGGGTGGCAGGCCGAATCCAGCCAAGTGCTCATCCCGAGCCCTGGTGACTCGCTGGACAAAGGTACAAGTCCAGGAAGGTAAACATGGCTTCCAGAAGCTTCCCTTTCCTTTGGTCAGTCTGAAATGTGCTAGGGCTCGAGTTGACGTGAGCTGTGTGGCGTGGGATCTGGTTGTCTGTCCTGGCTTGTGGCGGATCTCCCGTGGTGGGGGGGCCGGGGGGGGGGGACACAGACCGGTGGCCCAGGTGTGGTCCCCTTCCCCCGCCACAGAGAACAAGGGCTTTTTTGTCTGGAATTCAGAAGAAAGGAGCCACACTGTATGGAAGAGAGGGGCCGGGCCAGTGAGAGCCAAACAGCTCATTTTCCCTTGAAATAACATTGACTTTTGCTAAAATGCAGGAAGTCCTGGGGTTGGAAAATGATTCACGGCTTTAAACCAGAACCTGGTGGCTCTCACATAGACTTTGAGCCCAAGCAGGGGTGGGGGCGGGGGCAGGGGGAGGAGGAGAAGAAGAAAAGAAAGGAAGGGATTATTTGCAGGAATTATAGAGAAGATATATATAGAGAGAATATGTAAATATTATATATATGTATATTTCAGTTCTTGGGAAATCAGTTTGTGTTGGGGGAAAAAATCACCAACAGAGTTTGTTTTTTTTTTTAAAGCAAGCTTCTCCCATGAAAAATGTCTGCACTGAATTCTGTAGATGTGTGTGTGTGTGTGTGTCTGAGAGAGAGAGACAGACAGACAGACGGAGGGAGGGAGGGAGAGACAGAGGGTGGCTCGGGAGGAAAGCAGGGGCTGTTTTGTCGGCTGCTGAGCTGGGACACCTCTTCAGGCTTCAGAAGGCGCCAGAACCATTCTGCCCTTTAATTCCAAGGCCGTTTATTGCGTCCGTTTATTGCTTGTTCGGCTTGATGGGGGTGCGGCGGTCGGGCACGTTACTGGACTGGAATTGCTTTGTGACTTTGGTTTCGGCCCTCCCTCCCCCTCCCCCTCCCCTCTGAAAACGGGAGCTGAACGGATGAATTGTAAATGAAGAACTGGTGGATCGGAGCTGGCAAGCCCGGCTGGGGTGGGGTGGGGTGGGGAGGGCTCAGGGGGACCCCTGCTTTTGGCATGATCTGTGTATGTTAATTAGGAGGTGGGAGAGTCAACAGAACAGAACGTACAACGTGGATAAAAATGTTTTAAAGAACTGGAAAGAGGGGTCTTTGCCCCCCGCACCGTACTCGGCGGCGGCTCAGGGCTTCCAGATGGTTCTTGGCATTCGCTGGGCCGACCCTAGCGCGGTGTGTAAGAACCGGAAGCTTCTGAGGGGCAATTCCCTGAATGAAATCTCCTTGAGACTGTGCCCATCTTTTCAAGATCTAGAAGCTCCCACCCCACCCCCACCCACCCCCAAGTAGAAACAGCGCTCAGGGGGGTGCCAGGGTCATTTTACCCCTGAATTCACACCACGCTCGCCTTGAACTCACTTCCTTGGGACTTACCCCCAAGAACTCCCCCATCCCACCCCTCCACCCAGCAACGCTGAACCCCGCAGGACTGCCTGGGGTCTCAGGGACGATGGAACTTCCGCGATCATGTTCACTTGCGGCCTAGGCCCTGGACTTCCTAAAGCAATGTAACATTATTGAAATATCATTTTATTATTACTTGTTTTTTGCTGATGTGGTGCTGCGGAATCGAACCCAGGGCCTCATGCGTGCTAGGCAAGCGCTCTACCGCTAAGCCACGCACCCAGCCCCCAAGGTTAACATTATTAAAGGTGAAATGAGAACCAAAGACCCTCGATATGGCAAGCCACAAAGTCCTGCAGGATTGTTTCTGAGGGAAAACCAGCCTGTCTGTGCTAGGCCCTGAAAGAATGGCAAGAGTTTTCAAACAAGAAATGGCTTCCCTCCTTCCCTCCCTCCTTCCCTTCTTCCTTCTCTTCTCCTCAGAGCCAGAGGCTGACTTGGCCGAGTCAGGGGCAGAATTAGCACCAAGGTCCAAAGCCCTGGTTCTCCAGAGTCAGTGGCGTTCCTACCCTGTCACTGAGCCTCTGTTTGCAGAAGTTCCTCTAGATGCCATTATCCCCCATAGATAAGCATTCCCTTCCTATGGCCAGATAAAACCCCTCCGAAACACAAAAGGGTTCCGCCGTTCTTTCAAAGTCATGGCACACGAATTATTGAGCAAATTACTGCTCAAGAAAAATCCACGCTGGAGTTAAACAGACCCGGGCACCAATCGTGGAAGGAAGGAAGGAAGGATGGCCTGACACCTCTAGGAAGCCTTGAGCTACCATCACGCCATGGTGGCTAGTGTGTGGTTCTTAGAGAAGGTGGCTGGTGGGTAAACTGAGGGCGGGTTGGGAGGGGAGAGGGGGGGAAGGGGAGGGGTATCATCTCACCTGGCTGCGATATAGAGGGTTCTGTTCATAATTACAATCATCTGGATGTCCAGCCTGTGCCTCTGTGTGGCGTTCCGTCCTGGCTTATGACCCACAAACACCGGATACTGTTTTGTATCTGGGCAGGAAAATAAATCCATATCAATCAAGGTGAGATGGGAAGGAGAGGGAGAAGCAGATTGGGTGGACAAGGCTCCAGGCGGGGAGGGGAAGGGGGCGGGCGGGCCGGGAAACCATGTTCCATTCAAACTGGGTCCCCATTTCCCAGCCCCAAATCAGGCCGCTGTGATTTTAAAAAAGCCATACCGGGGACACCAAAGTGCTCTTTAAAAGACGCTCCCGTTACACTTCATTTCCTAGGCCATAATAAGCCAGGGCTTTGCTTTCGGAGTGTCACGATTTCTTGGGGGGGCCCGGAGAGGGGGTATGCGGTGTAGGCCGGCGAGTGAAACACTTTTGCATGAAGCCCTTCCTTTCTTCCACGGGTTTTCTTTTCATCTCCTGTGAAGTGCTGGGCCCGCACGGGGCAGGCAGCCAAAGATCTTGTCTCGGGAACCAAAGTATTTTCAAAGTCTCCCTTCCATCAATCAGCACAAAGGCCATGCGGTCTGGAGGCGAGAGGCTCCGTCCAGGAGCCAGAAGAAAAATACCGTCTCCACAGGCGTCCGGGAGGAATAATCCACCATTGAAGGCCTCTGAGCTCTCTTGGCATAGGGGGAACTGGGGAAGGTTCACTGGGGATTCAGTTGATCTCACAGAAAACGAGGAGGTGGGAAGGGGGGAGGTGGGGAACAGGGGAGGGGGTGGGCAGGGTCAAACTGAGTGTAGCCAGTTGGGGAATCTGGAATGTTCTCTCTGCATTTTCACTTTTCTCCTCTGGTTGCAAGTGGGCAATTTGTAATAGGAGCTGATCTCCGCAAATACCTGTATCTCCTCATCGCTCAGCCTCCGAACCTACAGTCTCCAGACGCTGGCCTCCCTCCAACGGAGAAAGGGGAGAGGAGCCACACCGGGGAGGGAGGGGGGCAGGGTGCAGATAATGATGAGAAAATGGGGAGACTCAGGCCAGGACCCCATCTGTTTCTTTCCCCTTCCCCTCCCGCCCCAAGAGTTTTAGCAGCCTGGCTACCGTGTCCTTAGACAACCTGGCTGTGTTTCGTCACCAGCAAGTTTGCAAAGTTTACTTTGTACTTCGCTTCCGCGGCTCTGGAATTCCCCCCTGACGCAGTTCTTTTTTTTGGAGGGGGGGGACACGAGGGCTTGAACTTGGGGCCTCAGACTCCTGGTTAACTTCTCCCATTCAAGGGCGCTTGACCGCCTGAACCGTCCCACATCAGCCGCCGCTTCCAGCTTTTCTTGTTTTTCTTTCTTCGGCCGGTGAACTGGAGATGAAAAAGTCTCCGGGATTCTTTTTAGTTTTCCTGCCAAGGCTGCCTTCGAACTGTGATCTTCAGACCTCCATCTCTGGAGCAGCGGGGGTTCTACACGTGGGCCACTCACTGCCGCCTGGCCCCCCCGACAGGCTCTTCAGGGGGACGGCCGGGTCTCTCTTCACACGCCTCTCTCTCTCTGTTCCCACAATGCCAGAGAGCACTGAAGTGTGAGCTTCAGCACACATTGGAGGGGCAGGGTCATGGCCTCTGGTTCTGGGCCAGCCTTGCTGCCAGCCCTCATGTAGAATGATCCTCGTTTCTCGGCTCTGGAGTCCCGCCACACGAATGTGAACCGTGTTTTGGAAAGCTCTGGAAGGCTTGCTTGGGATTAGGGTTGCAATAATTACTGGAGAAATAGACACTTAGGGAAAAAAGTTCTCTCTCGCTTTTCCTGGGAGAAAGCACATGGGTGTCGGTCCGGGGACAGAGAAAGAGGTCATCGGCCCGTCCCTCTCGCTCTGGGGGGGAGGATTTTCTCTTTGAAAGAGACAACCCCGTTTCCAGTGGCCCAGCCTCTAGCTTTGGCAACGACACTGATACAAAAGGAAGGTCTGAATGGTCCCACGGAGTCGCTCCAGACATAAAGTCTTCAAATAGTCCATTTTTAAGCTGGGCACCGCCAGCAGCTCAAGCCTGTCATCTTGGTGACTCAGGAGGCTGAGATGTGAGGATCACAGTTCAAGGCCAGCCCCGGGTCAGATAAAGTGGACACATTCTTATCGCATAAAGCCAGAGGTGGCGCTGTGGCTCAATTAGAAGAGCCCAGGCCTCTGAGCTCAAGCCCAGCCCCACCAAAACATGACAAAGTCCCTCTAGAGCTCTGGAGAAGTCCTCGTTTTCCTTGTAACAATGCCTACAGGTTGATCAAGTACAGAACACACGGTGCTTGACCGAGATACTCAGGTGATGCTCGCCCATCACCCGGCTTTCCTGGACTCAAGGAAGTAGCCTACATTCTTCTTTTTAGTTTTTGTAGTGCCAGTCCTGGGACTTGAACTCAGAGCCTGGGCACTGCACCTGAGCTTTTTTTTTTTTTTGCTCACGGCTGGTGCTCTACCACAGCTCCACTTCTGGCTTTTTAAAAAAAAAAACTGGTAGTTAATGGGAGCCTCATGGACTTTCCTGCCCAGGCTAGCTTCGAAGGACGATCCTCAGATCTCAGCCTCCAGACAGAGTAGTCGGATGACAGGCGTGAGCCATGGCGCCCGGCTTCTCGGGCCCCACGGGTTTGACCGCGCTTGGACATGGGCCTCCGCTGCGTACACAGGTGCCAATGCCAGCCTCTCCTTTCCCTGCCTTGCGCTAGGCCCCAGGGGAGACAGGGAGGGGGCCGGGGAGGTACTCACAGTTGCCATGCGCAATACTGATTGGCTCAGAATCTTCTGGGAAGGCGGCCCCAGCGGACTGCAGCAGTGTGAGACATAGCAGCAAGGCTTCTGGCCTCATAGTAGTTCCGCGGGGAGACTTCCTGCTCGACTTCACCCTGCCGAAGAGCCAGGGGGGTGGGGTTCATTTCCTCCACCTGTCCCTCCCCCACGGTGGCCCTGAGGGTCGGTGTGTCCTCCCCGGGGGATCCTGTGACCCACGCACCCCCCTGCCCGTGTCCATGGGCCACGAAACCCCAGGCCCATGCACCCCTCTTTCTTCTGCGTCGGAACCCTTTGCCAAAGGTCCAGGCCCAGGACGCGGAGCCAGGAGGGGCCGGGGTAGCTGTTAACATCACAACCATTTCACAAGTAGGAAACTGGACATCCCAAAACACCCCGACCATGGAGAGGCAGGCTTGCCGCATTTCGTGGTGGGCTTGGGGAAATCCAAAACCACCATCACCACCCCCAAAACAAGTTCGCTTCGCCCAGCCCCGGGGATCCTGCAGAAACTTGAAGCCGTCGCCAACAGTGAAAAATGTAGATTCCCGACAATAAGCTAGGCTCGCTCGCGGCTTTGTGAAATCAAAGTCAGAATAACTGTCCTACTGACGTGGCTTAAATGTAGTATTTCCCAAACATCAAACCCCTCCCTCCCGACACGTGTGACACACGCACACACACACACACACACACACACACACACACACACACAGTCATCTACCCCGTTAAACCACTCAGCTGAGATTTTTCGTCCTTAGTTTGCATGATTCTCCAATGACCTTAGACAGAACTGGAATCACTAAGTCAGCAGGGCTGGGAAGGTGGCTCAGTGGTAGGGCGCTTGCCTAGCATGCATGAGGCCCTGGGTTCGATTCCTCAGTACCACATAAAACCAAAAATATTTAATAGTAATAAAAAAGAAGTAAAGGTGGATTACGCCTGTGATCCCAGCTACTTAAGATCTGGAGGACTAAAGTTCTTGTCGGTAGGAGCAACATGCCAAACCTTCTTTGAAAAAGCACAAAAGGGCTGCGGGTACAGCTCAAATGGAAGAGCCATTGTGAGGCTCTGAGTTCGAGCTGCCCAACTAATGAATAGTAAATAACTAGTGAATACGAGAAGTCATAAATAAGGCAGACACACAATGCAAAAAGAAGTAGCTCCTTTCTGTAAATACCTCAAGCCTCACCCTGAAGCAGTTATTTTTAAGATATACTATCTCTTTGTAATTTAGTTCCCGCCAATGCTTTACAAAGGTAACAGCAACGAACAAAAAAAAGTCTACACTGTATTTCTCACAGGTGCTCTTTGTGTGTACATCAATTCTGCTACAAGGTAGAAATGAGAATCCCATGTAGACCTGCTTTGAAACAGTGAACCATGCTGCTGCACTGGGCTAACTATCACCCAGTTCTCAGGCATATTTGAAATAAGTGTTGATTAATCAGGGAAATTAATGTAAAATGAGGAATCTTTTCATCTTGCCAGAATAGTAGGCTTTGAAGCAGGCTGCCAAAGATTATCTATTTTTTTCTAGCCTAGCTATTTTACAGTAGTCCATCAATCATTAAGATTTGTGTGAAGAAATGTCAAACTTCATAACCTAGATGCCTTTGAAAGTTAATTTGGCAAACAAAACCACTCACTTAATGCTTTCTGGAACTCCCGTCAATATTAGCTACCTGTGTCTCTCTTTTCTTCCTGCCAAGAGTGGAGGAAAAAAAAAAATCATCAACAAGTCCCGAGTACTGAGCTCTTAACTTAAAATTTCACAGACGCAGCTGGGTCTTAATGTCTTCAACTGAAAAGTACACGTTAATTAATTGGCTTTATCTGGACCAAAAATTAAAAAACAAAAAAAAAAATCAAAAGCAGGAGAGGCGTTGAGAGAGAAACTCAAACAATTTCCTATCTCTGCATCTTTGCTGCGCAGAGGAAAATTAAAACTTGAGATACTCCGTGTGCGCGGCAGCAATCCACTCCCAAGACATCACAGGTATTTATAGGTAGGTTCCAACCTAGCCAATTCTTTCCTTCCTTCCTCCCTCCCTCTCTCCTTCCAGTAGTCCTACAAGATCTGGAGAGCCTGAATACCAAGCTCAGGGCTGCAAATATTCAGGAGGAAGAAATCAATAAGCAACAAACCCAACAGACACAAGCCAGCAGCCAGTGCTGTGTGCTGATGAAGACACACAGCACACTGAACAAAGGCTCAAGCGCAGAATGACAACCTAGCACCTGAGCCTCTTACCCGGATGAAACTGCCACGCACCACGGAAGCGTTAAGAACACCCTTAGGGGCCGATTCTTTTGCCTTTAGGAACCCTGGGGTATAAACGTAGGCTTCTAAAGGTTAATTTGTCCGGACGTGGTGAGCGAGCGTCCGTTCTTCACGACCATACAAGTGCCCTCTGCAAGCAGGCAGGGTAGGGGCCTGCGTGTTTTCCCCACCCGGCTTCCCATTTGAATCCTTTCCATCCCAAGGTGGCTGGGGTCCGAACACTGCCTCCTCCACATGTCCATCCGGCAGGGAGAACCACGCAGCCAGAAGCACATCTACTGCACCTGCAATCCCATGGCTTCTGGCGATCATCCCTCCGCTGGGAGGTGTCCCTTAACCATCTCCAGGTTCACCGGAGGGCTGCGCTGTGTGCGTTTCTCCTATCAGATAGTGAACAAGTATGCGTGTGGGCGCAGCCCCCTGGCACAGACGAGTTCTTCTTGGCTGGTCCACACGAATGGACCACTGTGCCGTTTCCTTCCTTCCGTCCTCCCTCCCTCCCCCCACTGCGCGGCATCTTTATGAACCTGTAGACGACCTATTTTCTTGTGGTAGTGACTATCCAAATCTCCCGCCACCGCCCGAGGTGACTTCCACACAGACGGAGGGAACGGAGTTTAAAAATACCGAGTGTAAGGAGTTGGTTCACGTCATTCTGAAAACTTTCCGAGGTGCTAGCCATGTAGAGCCTATTTATAGGTGTCGGCAAACATCTGTCCAGTAACTTGTTTGTGACTTGCTTAGACAGACTAAATGGGAGAGGCTACGTCAGCTATGTAGGAAATTAGGTGAAGGAGCCAGGGGCTGGTGGCTCGGGCCTGTCATCCTAGCCACTCAGGAGGCTGAGATCTGTGGATCAAGGTTCAAAGCCAGTCTGGGCAGGAGAGTCTGTGAGGCTCTTATCTCCAATGAACCCACAAAAAGCCAGAATTGGAGTTGTGGCTCAAGCGGTAGAGCACTAGCCTTGAGCAGAAAGCTCAGGGTCAGTGCCTGGGCCCTGAGTTCAAGCCCTAGGTTGCCTAACACCACCTGCATGTCCAGCTATGGCAGCCGCCATATAAGTGTTCTGAGGTCCAGTCAACTGGTGCCTGGTCTGGCACACTCTGCGACACCTCCTAGAATCCTGGCATCCAACGGATGCTTCAAATGGAATCCATTTGATTTGATTTCAATGTTCGAGTGGACAACGGGAGAATGGCAAATCTACAAATCCCCAGTGTGGGCTTGAGGCAGAAAGGGAATGATGGTCAGGGCGCCATCCTTTAGGGGGGGGGAGTTGTGTATTACCGTGGCTCAGAAATTCTCTTGCAACTTTGGCACATTTCCTATTGACATCATAAGTGTCTAAGAGGATCGCACCAGCCTTGGCTTCCAGTCCTTCATTATAACTCAGAAAAACATGCAGTGCCAAGGGTTCTAGAAAACTCCTCTGAGCTCTGAGGTTCAGTGAGTGAGCGTGTATATGTGTGTGTGTGAGAGAGAGGGACAGAGAGAGACAGAGAGAGGAGAGAGGGAGGGAAAAAGAGAGGGAGTGGGAGAAAGAGGAGAGAAAAAGACAAATTATAAAGGTCCACTCAGAGCACAGGGGTGCCCCTGGCTACTCCAATGTCACCAAAGCCAGTAAGTCCAGGAGGAGGGCTGGGCTGGGGCAGGAAGAGTAAGGAGCCCCCAAATTCAGGCAAGGTGGGGTCCTGGAGTCTTCCTTTTCTCTGGTCCTCAAAGGTGGCAGGTAAACTCTCGATCATAGCCAAGGTAACATTAACCAGGCCTAAAGCTCTGTGCATCTGAGCGAGTGTCCTTTGCACACAGCACCAGGGAGTAGGCTTCCTTTCCTCTGCAGGCTTTCCTGTCTCTCCCAGGCATGTGGTTAGGGAAATGGAGGGCAGTCATGTATCCATCGGCAGGGTGGTGTGCAGGGCAAACACCGGAAATGAATGGGCATGGACCTGTGGCTCAACAATAGGTCCAGGAGGATGTTCTAACCCACAAGTGAGCACTGGAGCAGGTGCAGAGCCGTGCTGGGTGTTAACAGAGTCCATTTTGGTGACTCCAGGTCCCTGGCCTCGTCATCTTCTCCTGCCAGCACGACTGTCTTTAGAGTTTGGAAAGGAGTGCACGAAAACCAGCCCTTTCTAACGCCACTGGACACAGGGGCCTGGGAAGCCTCTGTCCCCCTGGAGCTACACCGGTCTCAAGATGCTCCAGCTCTCCAGCCTCAGTTTCCTTATTTCTTGCGTCTCAGAGACCAAAGGCGCTTAGTTCTCAGAAGGGTGTGTTGATGTCACAGTTGACACGCTGTGAGCTGGCTTTTCTTGGGCTTTCATAAGACTGCTCTAGGCAGGCCCTAGATAAGCTCCCAGTGCCACACTGTTCTAGGGCAGAAGTTCCCTTCCCTCCGCCCCTGCAGGTCACCAAGTCTTCTGAAGTTTGGCTCCAGAGCAGAGAGGAGACTCTAACTCAGAAACCACATTCAGCCTTGTTGGGCTATTTTTAAAATGTACACGTCGGCCCTCACACAAGTACAAAGGAAAATAAAGTTGGTGGGGCACAGGGAAGGGATGGGCGGGGAGTGGCAGCCGGTGGACTGCCCGGCCCATGCACAGGACCTTTGCACAGTATCCTCCTGTGTAAACCGCTCATCACAACCCCAGCAAGGCCTTAGCATCCCCACTGCCGTCCACCTGGGGGAAACTGAGGACCAAGGTGAAGTGACCCGCCCAGGCGTTCCGAACCTAGATCTGTGTGTGCTGTCCAGGTCGATGTCCTGGTGAAGGACGGAGCGGGAAGACTGGGGGGCGGGGGCGGGGCCCCGAGGAAACCACGTGTAAGGTA